TGTTGTTTGAGTTGATTGGGTTTATCTTCTTTTCCTTTAACGTTCATCCTCCAATTTGCAAGTGGTCATTCCTTTTGCGTGCAATCCAAAGGCCCTACATTATCATGTTCCGAGAGTCGGGACAAAATTAGAGATATGCGTGGTTTGCTCATATCTGAGGTAATCGATATTTTCGGCTATATATTCCAAATTTTATTTGATGCATGATCTTGCAACATGCTTCATTCTAAAGGGTACGAGCCAAAAGGAAAAGGAAAGAATCAGTGCATCGTAAGCCCTAAAATTTATTCCGAAAGTGCAAGGAAGTCCTAAAACTTTCAAAAAGCGTAATCGAGTCTTAAAACTTAATCAATGGAAGGATTTGGTCGGACCAATTTGATAAGTTTCATGACTTAATTGCACTTTTGAAAGTTTTAGGAGTCGATTGTACTTTCGTGACAGGTTCTAAAATTTCCAATGCACTTATCCAAAAAACGAAAAATGGTTTGGGTGCTTGGGATTGATTGGATTTTTCTGACAAAAGCATTTGCCGACGCCAGTTGAAATTTTCAATCTTAATTACCTATGGATTTATATGTATATTTATATATCATGCGTGTAGTATCCCTCTATCTATAAATTTAAGCTTTTGAATCGAACATCCTAATATAGTTCAAAATCAAATTTTGTCAAAGTTTAGTTTGTGTGTGCAAAATTTATATGCTTCTTATATACACATGATTTTTCACTATCAATAACTTTACGTTTTCTAATTTTTAGCGACTTGAGACAGCCGACCAATGATGGGGGAAAAACAAAGCGAAAATGAAACAGAAGAAAAGAGAATGATACACCATTATCTATGCGTTAAAAGTGGACCAACTAATATTTTTCTTTCATTGCATGAAAATGATGGCTAGCGGGGTAAAGGGGTGAATTCTTGCACTGTTTTTTTTCCACGCACTCCGCTACTTTCTCTTTTATAATTTTTGCTTTTGTTATCGAATTATGCCCTTGGAGATAATGTGAAATGTGCATCTTGTATGATTTTTAGAGTGTGTTTGTTTCGCGGAAAATAAGTGATTTAGAAAGCATTTTCCGAAAAATGACTGCTTATATCGTTTAGAAAAATTAGTCGACGGAAAATGTTTTCATCATCGATAACAAATCTATGCCTAATTATTTTCGTGGGTGATGAAAAAAATTTCCATTCATTTATTTTTGTAAATGATTATTTTTCGAAAAATATTTTTCAGATCACTTATTTTTCGGGAAACGAACGGAACCTAAGAGATATATTTTCTGCCCATTTTTAAGTTACTTTTTTGTTTTTCAAGTGGGCAAACAAAAACCACTGGGGATTGCTCCAGTAGCCACCGTTCTCACTTGAGAAGGGAGAGGTGGGGAGTTCGATTCTCCATTTTCTCAAGGGGCTAGGGTGGGGACGCGTAGTTTGCGACTCCCACGCTCTGCATGAGGCAGGGCACAAGTCTGCACGTAAGCTGAGAGGTAGAGTAGGAGTAGCGGTAGGACTAATAAAAAAAAAAAAAGTGGGCAAACACAAAGTAGATTTCTTGTTCTTTCTTTTGCTACGATCTCATCGCATCCCCGAGCAAGTGTTGAAAAAAGGGGGAGAGGTGATGGCGTATGATTGTGTTTCGCCATGCATGCAGAGATGGCCATGGGAGAAAAGCTATGAAGGCCTTACCGACAACGTCTCTTTACCGCAACCATCACCATCCAAAGTGTAGCTTCAAATCATAACCTACTTTGGTTCAAACATTCATCACCAATTTACCACGGACTCCACGAGTTGCGACTACCATGTTTTTCCGGTTAAATAGGCCTTCACAGCTAGCAACTTTCGGTTTCGACTTTTTGATCTTATTTTCACTCCTGAAATTTAACTATTATCTGATATTGAATGTTCAGAACCTTTAAGGACATGCGCAGCGACATGTAAGGTCGCGCAAAAGCTCTAATCTGTATCTTTGCCATGGGAGTTGAGTACATTCTTTTCGCATAAGAAGTCGCCACAGACGGGCCCTCGGGCTAATCGTGTTGGGCGACCAATGAGAGCCGGATGGATCGCGCAACTCCGATTTTCACGAACCAAGTCTTTTCCAATTCTCTAGTGCCAACGTGTTCGAAACGGGAAGTGTTGGAATGGGATGGACCAATCTATTTCGACTGGCTTTTCACGAAGGGAAACGAGGGGAAAAAGAAGCGAGAGGCGGAAAGGGGGGAAGAGATAGGTGGGGGAGGCCCCTCAAAAGGAAGGGAATGAGGGCGACCCCTTCCGTGCATCGCACGTCTGCTGAACTATCATTGCAGTCGCACTGCACCGCACTGCACCGGATGGTCACTGCACTTCTGTCTCCATTTGCAGAGTGTGCTGCCATCTGTGCATGTTCATGATGCTCTCCCTCGCTCTCGCCCCCCCCTTCATGTGTTGACTTTTTCTGTAACTCGGATCCGCACTCGAGATATCACTCCACTGAGTACGGTACATGGTATGGAGTCGAACACAGGCCACTGCATATAATGATGATGTGTTCTGCGGGAGAACCTATACACCGGATCTAACTGTTCAGATTCCATTTATACTGCACCTCCCTTTGGTTCGGTTTTGAGGGAAAGTCTTTGAGGGAATGTAAAGGGTTTTCGAACCGTAAGTATTATTTGGTAGGGTGTATCTTAAAAGTAAAAACTACACCTTGTAAAGAACTTTTGCTGAAGGCCAAAATTGGAAGAAAAAAATGTCTATTTGCATTCCGAAAAGGCTACTTTCCAAAGTATTTCCAGACCTGTCTTGAGCTAAAGACCTTTTCAAATGCAATTACAATCCCCCAAAGTTGAGCAAAAAACGAACCAAACGCCATTTGCATTTAGCCAATGAACTTTAAAGCCCCAAAACTCATTCGGAATGCTAAACCAAATGGAGCTTACATGTACTAATGGATCACTGAAAATTTCTCAACCAATCGATTTTAGACCCGTGATTCGACCCAAAGCGGGAACCTCCTATCGGACGAGACGAATAAGGAGGACCGCACAGGAAATGAAACATGAGACGAGGTGCACGGGAATGTGGACCCAGAATCCGACGTCGCGCGTTAAGTCCGATCGAAAAATTTAAGCTATTGGCAAAGTAGAAAAATAAGATCAGGGACATGGTCCAGGGGAGATGCAACTTTCAATTGGACTCGGGGGACAAAGCTAAGCTCGAGCCGAGAACCCAGAATGTATTTGGTTCATTTGGCCCATTGATGTCAGCATTGGAGACAGTCACGGCCCAATAATTTTGATATATATATATATCAAAAGTATCCCTCGGTTGGTTTATATATAAGGGTTAAGTTTAGGATAAACAATATCGATTGAAGTTCGTGTTTAAAATAATGTATTTTAGATTAACACTATTGATGCGCTCAGGTCCAGGATAGGAATTGATTAGGAATGATGGGTTCTAGTAAGTACAGTAGCCTCCAGACTCTGATTAAGTAGAGAAATGAAGGAATTGATAGATAACTCGCCACGTTTCTCGCGGGACGGTGAAATATCTAACGAGACATCGATTATTTGAAAGCTATCGTGATTAGGGCTGAACATGATCCGAGTTGGACTGGTTCAGCACCTAACCCTGTGATCAACCCGCTCGGTGTTGGTCCCCAATTTTTGGGACCATGGACCGACCTTGTTGAGCTTGGGACCGAGGACTGGACTAATTCGGTCCGGTTCCAGGGTTAACTCGAGATCAACCGATTATTTTTGTTTCATTTTTTTGTATTCCTTGAAAGCACAAATATACTTTTTCAAATTTCATTTCCATCAACAATACGACATTGAACAACCAAACTATAAATACCGGCACGTATCAAACATAAATCTAATACAAGATAACAACAGAAATCTCCATTTGTTAAAAACATAAAAAATGAACACGTGAAATATTATTAATTCATAAGAAGTTTAAAATACGTAATATAAACGATGGATGCACTTTACCATACATGTTTTTTTGTCTTCTCATCTATGATTCTCGGAAATTTATCCCAAGCAATAGATTTATCTATTATTCGCTTCTTACAAAGAGGAGGATCATTAGTAGATATCTTGATTGACTCTTTTAAGTCTTCCTCACATCCATGGCCGAACGATTCTATCATCGGACTCATCTCGTAATATACCTCCACTTCAGTTGACATGTTATCTGAATTCATCAAGTTCGCCTAATACCAGAGTGTAATCAGTAATTGTCAAAGCTCTCACGTTTATCACCTAGGACACAAACGTGCAACAACCAAAATCACGTTTATTTAGTCAAATGAATGACAAATAGAGCAAAGTGAGGACATGATTTAACACCTACGAGGCAAGCAGCGAGGCGAGCAAACAAAGCGACGAGAGGAAGAGGGTTTCCCAGGCGAGCGGCGAGCAAACAAAGCGAGGCGATGAAGAGGGTTTTTATTTTTATTTTTGTCAAATCAGGATTGGGTTAAGTGGGTTTCTACTTTCTAATTTATAATTTTACCCGATAGAACTACATTAAAAATTACAGAGGCAGAGGCGATAGGATAGGATTTAGAGTAAACAAAAATATATAATATATTATATAGTATATACAGGGTTGGTCCAAGTTGAACCAACCCTAAAATCCCAATATCAAGGACCAATCTGTTCAGTGTAGGATCCAGGGATCTCAAGATCAAGGACCAGCTTATTCCCCCTAGAAACCAGAACAGGACGGATCAGATTGGGCCGGTGTAGGGTTGGTCTAGGGTCAACCATGGACCAATGCTCACCCCTAACCGTGAACAATTACATCCATCGGAATGTAAAATACTATTTGGCTATATTTTTCGACTGAGACTTGGCACGAGGTATTATTTAACATCACGAGATGATTGACTAAATGAAAATTGGAAGTGATGGTCTTGCGCCGCGTTCGAAACGGCGACGTATCGACGCGAAAATAAATACAAGACGAAACAAAAAAAGCCCACCACTCCAAGATCAAAACAAGAAGCAGCTCTCTCCTCTTCATAGTCCTCCGAGCGAAAAAATGGAGACTCGAAGAGAAGAAGAACACACCGCCGCCGCCACCGCCACCAACTGGAGCGAAGAGGTGGAGGACTTGGTGTCCGCCGGCGACGTCTCCGCGGCCGTCTCCTTCCTCGAGTCCCTCATCTCGAAGCTCGAATCGCGGCAAGCAGAGGAGCCGTCCTCCTCCAATCTCCAATTGGCCTCCGCCCTCGCCGAATTGGCCCGCCTCTACTCCTCCCAGGGCTTCTCTCTCAAGTCCGATCAGCTCCTCGCTCGATCCTCGCTCCTCAAGCAGCGCGGCCGCCGCGGCTCTCCCTCTCGGTACTCGTCGCCTCCCTCCTCCTCCTCCTCCTCCTCCTCTTGTTCCCGCCGCGACGTTGATTTCGTCCGCGGGAGCGATGCTCGTGGAAATCTCTGTTTCTCTTCGACGGTTACATCGAGCGCGCGGGTTTCTCGAGTCTGCGTGGTCCGTGCGCTGCTTGTGAGCGTTGTTTCTTGATCCTTTTGCCGATTTTCAGTGATGCAGAGATCGCGACAGAGGACTTGAAGGGCGATCGAGGTGCATCGCCGGGTGCTGCTCTGACCTGCATTGACTCCTCGGGATCTTCCGCTGGAGGTGCATTCTACGTTTTCCAGTCGGTTTTGTCGAAAGTCATTTCCGCCCGTGTGAATCAAGATAATGCCTGTTCTTCTGAGGTCTTTAAGTGATCGCTTGTCCAAGAATCTACTTAATTTGTTGGTTTGTTTTGATTTCTTTTTCCCCGAAGGGCGCGTTCAGCATCCGACGATCGTGCCTGATGATGAAACTTCAGAGGATGGTACGTTTTCTCAAGCTGATATTACTATTTCACCTATCACTTGGATTTATTCATCGCGATCGAATGTGGCGTCTTGAAGAGATTTCATCTTTCTTCGAGGCTAATAGCCTTTGTTTTGGGCAAGATTATGGGGGCAAAGGCGCGATTGTATGGAAGGAGTGCATTTCAAAATATGGGGCCTTTAGGTTTATAAGCAAGGTTTTTGAGGGATATAGTTATGGAATGAGATGGTTATGTTTTATTTCTTCGCGCGTAGATATGATTTTCTTACTGTTCTTTCACACGGCACCTTCACCTCAAAATACTTGTGGTGGTTTTGTAGGGGTTAATAACGCCACAATGCATTATCCACTGAGAATTGAATGGATAACCCCGTTCCAGCTATAAGTTTGTATGGTGTTAGATGATGGAGGGTTTAATAACAATTGAGCATGAGCAATGATATTTGAGGAACTTTTATACTTATATGAAGTCAAACTTTTAGTTCGGTTGATCAATAATGGAATTAAAGGGAAAGAAGATCGTGTAGAAAGGAACTTTTGTTAATATCTGGTTATTTAGGTGGTGATTGCAAGTTCATGATTCACAATGATCGAGAATGATGTTTTCCCCTGCAAGATTGTTACTTTTTTGCCAAGATAATAGCCAATATCAGCTGTTGTGTGCTTTTTCTAAGTTATATTCGCATGCTTTTAAAATGCTTAAGCGTCGCGCATATGAAAATGGCAGATTGGGAAGCTATGGCAGATCGTTCTCCCAATGAGTTACTCCCTGCAGAATGCTTAACTGAAGTATCAAAGCTTTCTCTGGAAGATGGCAAAAATACTAAAGCCCCTAAAAGGCGTGGAAGGGGCACTTTTACTTATAAGAAACATGAATTATATAGTGATCGGGTATCAGATGATTTGACCATCGATGAAGTGGATGATGAAGGTCAATCTTCTCATTTAGAAGAAAAGCCCATATTGAGACCCTGTAAGTCATAGTCGCCCATTCAGCTGAAGCTGTGTAATGTTAGTTTCTTCTCTTTGTTAGAGCATGTTATGACACTTGTCTCAATTGTGATTATGAGTTTGCTTTTCTAAGGTGAAAATGTAAATTGATTGGATTCTCCTACTGGATAATTACATCTTCCATCTGCGCATATTAGGAATTGTCGTGCGAGCATTTTGTAGTGCATCCTTGTTGGGAAACATGCTTGATATATGGAGAGCTATTGCCAAGACCTGGATTGTTTAAGATTGTTGTAGGACATAAGCTACTATCAATTTCTCATACTTTTCCTTTAATGAATTCGGAGTTTGATGGGCTTAAGGGAATAAAAATCTCTGTGCAGCTAGATATGGCACTAGTCATGTTCTTGTCCTCGCTGGGTTTCCTCCAAGCACTAGAACAACAGAGCTAGAGAAGCTTCTCGAGGACTTCAGAAATCGAGGAGTAGTGATTCGGTGGGTCGATGATACTACTGCCATTGCAGTATTTCAAACGCCAGCAATTGGTAACTACGTTTTGCTATCTTCTTAATTCTGTTCTCAGTGTTAGATAGCATGATATGTTGACATCATGTTTGAATGTGATAATCTCGGATACTTGCGGTGGGGAGTCCCAATTTATTGCAAGCTCCACAAGACCGCCATATCCATTTTCCTTTAGTTTGTCTTCTTTTTTTTATACAAACTTGTCTAAAAAATCATAATCTCAGTTTGTTAATGATTAAAAGATTTTTTTTTGGTCAAAGATTTAAAGATTTGATTCCTTCTAATCTTCTTTGAAATGCCAATCACCTAATGCAGCACTCGAGGCTCTTGGCAGTATTCAATTTCCATTCACCGTACGAATACTGGAGGAGGAGGATTCTCTCTTGAGCTCAATTCCAGTAACAGGTAATTTACTCTTCTTATCCCCGCTTCTTTTAAGAAGTTCCATTCTAAAGTTGGAGGGTAATATGCTTTACATGCTTGGAAGAACCGAGGGTTATTCTGTTTGCTGTGACGTCTCTGATACAAAATCAGTGACTGACGACCGGTGACAGGCTCGTTCATCAAATCACTTCACCGAATTTTTAATCGGACGCCAAATGGCATGTTTTATACTGTTTCCGAGGAGTGTGATATGTTGTAAAGTAAATTTTCCTCGCAACAATCTTTTTATTTGTCTCGTGTTTCAGACTTGGAACCTCCAAAGCCAAGGCCACAAACATCCGCCCGAACTGCTCAGAGGCTCATTGCTCAGGGCATGGGGCTGAAGTTGCCTTCCTCGTCCTTTGGTTCCAGAGAATTGAGGAAACAGGAAGAAGCCAGAAAGGACCGCATTGTGAGGAGGCATAAACTGAGAGATGATGCTTGGGGTGAAGACTGAAAATTGAGGTTTCATGTAATCAACGAGTCTTGAAAAGGCGTGAAAACACACATTTTTACTTGCATCGTATAGCACTCTTTTGAATGGATCCTACATTTGGCACATCAAGGGTTTGCCCAGCTGAATCAGAAGGCATTTTCACCACTCGTGAAATTTAATCTGCCCATCTCTTTATTTTCATTTATCCTGTTCCATTTCTGCGGTTTTAGGCTCGGACCAAGATCGCCGATTACCATGTTGGCTCCATTGGTAGGAACTCAAACCTCATTATTCATCATGACGTAGCTGAGCTTGAAATGCAGAATGGTAGAAAAGGAGAGAATGCAATGTGAAGCCTAAATAGCCGCCAATGCTTTCTCCAGGGTTTGTATTTCAACATCGTATATAACTTTTAAGATTTACCCGAGAGTCCAAACAAAAATTCAATGAACCAAAATTTTTGCTTGCGTACTGCCAGAACTCGACTGGATCGCAGTCAGCGCTCTGATCCAAGACAAAAATATAACATGAGCATGGCTCCATATGACTCAATTTTGGTATACCACAGGCGGACAATTGCTGCGGTCGGCCTATGGTGTAATGATCATAGTAATTCTTCTCTGCAGGGACCAAGGAAGATAAAATTCCGCTCGACAGGAGGACCACCAGAGACCTTGCACGATGCTGTCAATCAAGACCAATGCATGCCTTAGATACAAGATTCTTCCATATTGTCATCAAGAAACCTTCCTAGACAAGTTCTTCATTCCACATCCAACACATTTAAGTATAACTGTCTCCGTTGAAGGATCTGGCTTGATAACAAATTTGACCCCCAGAAAATCTCTGATGTTCCTGAGAGTTTCTATTCCATACGGTGAAAGCTTGCCAACACGAACCTTCGAAACATCTTGCGGGCTCAATGCACACAAAAGAAACAATAGACCCTGAAAAGGAGGGAAAATATATTAAAAATGATCAACGCATCATAAGGGCTGAAAGCATATATAGCATCTTCATCATGAGGCATTGTCACCATTGCCACATGTTCAATTTCACAACTGAACATACGATTTATCTGGTAAAGAACCCACACCTTGGCCATAGCAATCAATCAAAGCTAAAAGAATCTCATGTAAAAACCTCCATAAAAAATAAGTGGAATGAAGCTGAGGAAGCCAGCTGCTGCAGCTCACAAATTTGCTTATACAGGACAATTAAAGTATAAAATAGGAATTCCAAACTCACAAAATCTTAAAGTCTCTGTTAGAAAATGAAAGGATCCATCCGATGGATTTGTATGAAAACATCTAAAAACCTGGTCTACAAGATGATCACTTAGAAAAGTACTTGCGAGTTGCATCTAATTAGGTGATTCTTTGTGCAAAGAGTAACTAATGAAATGGAGTCAGTAAAGATTCTTAGAGACTTGGTGCACCAGAAATGGGCATAGAACTGAAAATTAGGGTAGGGCCAAGATAAAGTATTCTAATTTTTAGAGAAACTCAGTTTCACCGGTACCACATACATCAGCACGGATTAATTCTTAGGCAGTATGAACTTGATGTCCGCTGGTTGTGTTTTCAGGGGTAATGGGAAATGAAGCCTAATGTAATCGCTGAAAATAAACTCGTTCATTTCTTTCAGATTATATTGTGTCTTCTTCAAGAAAGTAACTTATTGCCTGTGATGGCCAATGATTAGCTCATACATCGAAGATGCGTTCCTTTCAAATCCAGGGATTTTTTTTGCTTTTTTCACCCAAAAGAAGGAGCTTATTTGTTAGTGAAAATCTCAGGATGTGAATATAGAGTCCAAAGGTTCTTTGTGTGTGGGTGCACGCTCGCGCGCGCGTTTGTGTGTGTTGGGGGAGAGGAGGGGGGGGGGGTGATGGGCGTTTGGAAACTCATCAAAACTCATGAACACACTTAACAGGCAAGAATGTAAAAAATGATTAATGGAACCAGTTAAAGTTGTCAACATCTGAGTTTCGATGCTGTTTTCATCCCCGTCAGGACAGATGCCTACCACCTCTCCTTTAACCAACACACATAAATTTGCCTAAAACACAACACAGCAGGGGATGAAACAGAAGGGGCACAGTAGGTAAAGGAAGAGTACACAAGCAAAAAGGCATATTCTTCACTGCAGCATAATTTCTGATATCTCCAATTTAATTAAAGTTAGCCCCTCATCTTACAAAAAGAAGAAAATACAATTACTGCAATCGTAGAATGACAAGTAAACTGAGCCTTGAAACTACTTTTCTACTGTATTATATTCCAGAAAACAAATGGTAAACAAGTAAAGTGAGCAGAGAAAACACACCTGATGTGTTGAATCCACCACTCCACCTTGCTCAATTTCACTGAGTAGAACAGAGGCAGTTTGCTCACCAACATCCTCTGGAGGCGTTAACTCCTTTTTCTCCTCCCCTTCAATTTCATTCCCTTCTTCTAGTCCGTAAGATACCGTAGTATCACAAGATATGCAGCAACCAGAAGTAGTTTCCGCGACCAATGAAATTCCATAACCAGGAGATCTGCCACGAGATCACTTCTCTATATCAGAGCACACTAGAAATAACAATACAGACGAGAAAAATACGGACCATCAAGTGGCACTTCCAAATTGCATGAGTAGAAAACTATGGCTCTGTATAATTCAAAATAAAAATAGAAGACATACTTCCCAGCCTGTGGGCCAGCTCTGTGATCAGTAAAGATGTGAACATCTGGAAGTAGACGATTGAATATTCCACGAGCTGCATGTATCATGTTATTCTCAAATTGTGCAGAAACACGTGTAGAGAAAGTGATCCCTCTAATCCTCTTGACCATTCCTTCATCGATCCATGTGACTGCCTGTTAATCAAAGAACTTTAGAAATAAGATGTGCAAAATATTTTGTTATATAAAATGCACAATTAGTAGATGAAGGTACTCACTGCTAGACTCTGGACACTGGGAACTGACAAGACAATTTCTCCACCACCATGAGGAGGCACTCCACGGCTCTCTATCTTTAATTCCAAACCATCAGCAGGAACTCCAAAACGCTTTAGGATTGGTAAGGTAGTGGAGCGAAATGTATCGACACATGGGTCCTTAGAGTCATTCGTGATTCCTGTCACAGCAACAGATACAAATGCTTAAACCTTCCTAAAAGTATTGAAAAAGTATGCAAAATCGTAAATCCACGACATCCATTGAGTTCTGTCGTAACACATCGGAAGTGCAGCCTCTTCAAAAGTTTGGTGAAATATGTACCTTTGAGCCTTATGCGGAGAGGTTTTTTCGCGAACAAGCCGAGTACAATCAAAGGCTCCAAGAAATAACCAATAGAACGGCTGACACCACAATCATGAACAAGATGCTTCCCGCCCATTATGATACCGGGCTTATACTTAAGTTTCGTTCCTGCAACAAGAAATGGAGCATGTTATAAACTAGAACAAACACAATTCAGGTTACTCCTAGAGATGATTGGACTAGTTATTAACGACAGTTGCAACTTCTTGAGGACCCTCTCAGAGGGTGGGCCTTCATCCAACTGATTGAAAAATTCTAAGAAGGCAACGATCCTTCATGCCTGGATATCCCTAATGTACATGACAAAGAACAATATCATTGACTATGAGTCTAGCACATTCCCTCCATCAGTTAACCATGAAAGCTGATGAGGTGATAAAATTGAGACGGCATGTCAAACTCGAGACAAATGCTAGTACTGCAATTCGGCAATTTTTAAAAATCTAAACTAGTAACTAGTTTCTTAAAAAAGATGCTTCTCATAAGCTACCTCTTAGAACTGAACACAATCAAAATAAGGCCTTCATCACCGAAACCTCCTCAAAGCAAACTCACGGAGCCAACCAACCTAAACCCCATATAGAAAAGCTCACTGCCAACGCTTCAACGAGCCCAATCAATCAGCATTCCCTTTCACCTAAAACTAATCGCCCGTCTCACAACCGAGGCGAGGCGACGCGACGCGTGGCTCAATTTCCATTCCCGGCAATATTCTCCGGCAACAATTGCGACCTCCTGGCACGACATCCTTCGCCTACCAGGCTTACACAGCTTCTAAAGCCGGAACGGGCAAAAAAAGACTAAGGGTAAACAGAACGCGCGCGGTGAAGGGCGGGTGTACGGACGGAAGACGTACCGGTCTCGTTGATCTCGACGACGCAGTCGTCGCAGACCTTCTCGAGGAGGCGGAGGAGGGAGACCTCGTGGGGGCGGAGGCCGGGCCACGTGTGGTCGGAGCGGATGTCCTCCACGATGACGGCGGTGGAGGCAAGGGTGGACAGGAGCAGCCTCTGCCTCAGGTTCTGGCTCCCTTTCACCCTCTTGTACGTCGTCTTCCCCATCGATACCTTCCTCTTCTTCTTCTTCCTCCTCCTCCTCTTCTTCTTCTTCTTCTTCGAGTTCAGCGTTCGGGGTTTTGCAGACTGCATTTTCAGCTTTAAAACCCTACGAAACTGGAGATGGGCCGAGCCCAAAGGTGACCCAACCGGGATTTTTGGGCCTTGGTCCTCAAATGGAAGGCCCATGATATTCACTTCTTTTATCATGTTAAAAAATAAAGGGGACGATTTTCGCTTACCAATTTCGCACAAAATTCCTAAAATACCCTTCTTCAAATTATTTTCCTTTTGGGAAAATGACACAAACAATCCCTGAACTTTAACTCAATATGCAATTTGGTCTCTGAACTTTTAATTTTTTCAATGTAGTCCATAAACTTTAACCCAATGTTCAATGTGGTTCCTGGACTTTCAATTTGTTCAATATGGTCCTTGAATTTTTTATACATGTTCAATATAGTTCCTGAACTTTATAAAAATGTTCAATGTAGTCCTTTCATTAATTCAAGTTCATGGACTATATTATATATTTTCATATAGTTCAGGGACTAAATTGAACATGTATCAAAAGTTCAATGACCATATTGAATAAATTGAAAGTTCACGGACCACATTGAATATTGGGCTAAAGTTCAGAGATTACATTGAATAAATTAAAAGTTCAGGGACCAACTTGTACATTAAATCAAAGTTCATGGACTGTTTGTGTCATTATCCCTTTTCCTTTTATTGCTAGTGTGATGCTTCAAGGTCTTTTTTGTCTTTTTACTGGTGAAGGTTATTTGGATATTATTTTCACTTGCGCGCTCTTTGTCTCTCCAAAACGTAATGTGCGCTCGAGTTGATTCGACTTATCACATGCGAGCAAGATAGGAATAAAAATGTTAATTGATTGGACAAACTCCCTTAGAATGCATTGGATTGGACAAATGGGTCTTGAGTTTATTTTACCAAAAATGTGAACTTTTCGTCAAACGCCTTTTACGGGGTCAAAATGCATCGACAATGCTCGCGTAATACGAATCCCAATTAATTCCGCACATAATAAAGTTTCGAAGAGCTTTGTTTATATGTAAGTTTTGTTTCTTCACGTGTCGTTGTCACATGGTCGTGCTTTATATGGACGATAAAGCAAAAGATGGTTCGAGAGAGAACAGAACCTTCTGCGATCTCGAATGTCAAAACCGATTAGCCAGAAAAAGGCCTCAGGGCTAAATAAAAAATATTAGAAAGTTTAGGTGATGCTGACCATCTTTTTGAACGGGTTTTAGGAGCGAAAAACTCAATAAAAAGAGGGTCATCGAGTCATTTATTATAATTATTAATGTTTTTCATTATGGTATAATAATTTGACATTTTCTTAACCGATTTGACCCGGCCAGTAAAATCTCGAAGCTTTGTATTAAAGTCATCGGCATAATTAACAAGCAAAAGCACCATTGAATGGGTTTTCTTGACAATTTGATTCATTAGAAACATAGAATTTTCGTACAAATTACCTGAATAATTCGAATTTATAAGAGGTCAATGTTTCTTCTTTTTCCCACCCTTTCCTCCACGAAATGGGGGAAAAAGTCCATGATGCTTTTTTCGAAGCTTCCCTCGAAGTCAAACTTCATTAATTTGCCTCGTCTTTGGCAAAAAAAAAAAAAAACAACTTGAACTTCATTCGACACAGAAACTTACGCGGTATTAACAATAGTAAGAGGGATCGTTTCCATTTGGGTTTCGTGTTCTTCGTAAGAGATTTAGAAGCATGAAGACGAAATGAGGAAAGAGTTGTCCTCGGAATTTATTTGAACGGACCCAAACGGCGACATTCGTAATTGATCGAGAGTTTTTATTTTTATTTTAATATCATATTAAAGTCTCAGTTGAGCTCCAGCTTAAGCATTGGATGTGGAATATTCTCCGCAACAATTATGAATGGAAACTTGTAATTAAGTAATGTTTCGCTACAAAATATGTAGGACTTATGGCTTTCTACACCCTAAACTTTCAAAGCAATTGGTAACGCACTTGACTTTTATCTTTTTTTTTTCTTGGTTTCCTTGGCATACTTTATTTTACCTCCAAATATCAGAATTGCAAGTGTTGAATTCGATTTCTCACACCCATTTTCATTTATTAACGTGGGTTTCTCTTTCTATCAAATACTCATGTGCTCAAGGTTGACTTGTGATTAACATCCCTCGCTAGCTCATTAACAATAATTTTGAGCAGGAGTAGATACAGAGAGTTGAGAATGCACTGATCAGATCTGCTCTAGTCGAATCATTCTGCCAGTTCAAATAGACTGCTAAACAGGTATCCATGCACTTGTAAACAAGTTCATCCTTGTAGCTGCGGGTTGTAGTGTTCATCACAGGAGGAATTATATAATAAGGGAAGAGAGAGAGAGAGAGAGAGAGAAGAAGAAGAAGAAGAAGAGGAGGACAGCAACAAGATCAATCAACTCTCTATTGCTATTTATGACATTTCCAGCTCCCCAAATATTCCACCTAAGATGAGTTTTATGTCATTGAAGGAAAAGGTGAATGAAGCTTTCAGACTTTCAGTCTGTCTATTGCATTGGAATAGAATTCTAATAAGGCTCTGATAATGATGAAAGAAAAGAAGCACCAAAATTTCAACCACCATATATGAATCTGTACACATGGCTTGATCATTCTTTTTCTCTTTTTCTCAAGAAGATGGTGTTGGATAAGATGAGAGCAAGTGAGGAGGAATGCAGGGAGAGCTCCTCCAAACCCTAGAATGCAACCTGAGAATGTCCCTCGCCCTCTCCTTCGTCCTCGACCCGCTGTCCACCTGCAACACCAGGCACAGCTTCGTCACTGCCCCGACCTGCAACATCTCCTGCAGCACCCGAGCGCTCACTGAGAACCTCGACACCGACGCCAGTATTCTCACTGCCCGGTCGCTCGCCACGTGCGATACCCTCAGCACCTTCTTCGCCACCACCGCCAGCCCCGCCCCATGTGCCACCAGCTCCGCCCTCCCCTCCGCAGACCCGCACAGCTGGTCCAGTACCATCAGGATTAGTTCGCAGGCCCGCTTCGAGTCTGCTGACACGCTTTTTATGTCGAGCAGGAGCTCGACAAGGGCCAGGACTGCACCGCCCTCGACTGCCTTGATCCGGTTCCTCCCCCATGGGCAGAGCTCCACCATTAGCTTCAATGCGGCCTTCGATGCCTGCTGCGAGATCTGGTCCTTGAGCACTCTGACCAGTTCGCCGAAGAATTCGGGTCCAACATTCATAAGTTGGATCGGATCTGCCACCTCATAGGCCAACTTCAGGATCATCATCGCGTATGCCCTAGATTGATAGCTTCCGCTTCTGAGCACACGCATCAATGATCCTGTGAGATCGTCATTTATCATCAGCCTCTTGAGATCTGATCCGGAGACGTTCAAATGGCATAGGATGTTGAGCGCCTCATCGCTCGCTTGCGCCAGCTTGGTACCATCGCTTGAACCACTGACCTCGATGAGCGTTGACTCGTCGTTCTTGATGATCGAAGCCAAGAATTCAAGGACCCCAGCCGAGACTTGATCCAAGCACTTCTTGTTCCTCATGCCATCACCCCCGAGGGCGATGGACCGGAGCCGCTGGAGACACGCGAGCCTCGTGTGGGGGCTCTTCTTGGCGTCGTCAAGTAGCTTGACAATGGCTGCCTTGTCAAGGGGTGGCTTCGGGGTGGGGATGCGCTCGAAGGCGTTGAGGGTGCACCAGGCCTGGATGAGGCGGCAAAGGGTGTGGTTCGGGGTGAGGTCGGCGTCGGAGCTCAGCGGCTGTTTGGTGACGGGGCAAGTGCTGTTCCTGAACGTGAACAGCCACCGCTCGATGCTCTCCCGGTCGTAGGTTATGCCGGTGGAGGCGGTGACGGGATCTCTCATGAGTTGCAAGGAGATGGGGCATAGAAAATGGGTGGGCACATCGATGTCGTTACCGTTGTCGTGGTCCTCCATTGATGTGCTTGTGTTTGAAGTACACATTGAATCTCAGCTGAGATCCTTCTTTGAATGACTATTTCCACAGAGAGAGAGAGAGAGAGAGATGGCCTCTTTTGGGTTTCTCAAGGAGTGCAATAAGGCTTGATTGGTGATCAATGTTAGCCTTCTTTGAGAGCTTGAGATTTGGATATCTAACTATGAATGTGAGCTTTTCTTTTCCTTATAATATATATTGGAAGCGAAGTAAAAGGTGACGCCCAGTTGTTCAAAACGATAAAGTCAACACACGGAAAAAACAGGAGAGAGAGAGAGACAGAGAGAGCGAAAGAGAGAATTAATTGGGGACCATTTCCAAGGTTTTGGAAGGAGAAAAGCTCCAACTTAAGGACTTTTTTTTTTTGGAAGAGTTAGGAGCAATTAATGGACGAATTGGGAGGAGCGTCGGCGTTGCCTAGGGTGCCTGAGACGACCGTTCTTTAAGACATTAAAATAAACACAAACGAACGATAACTTGAAAGAGCTCTCATGAATCTGAACATTATACACACATTTGACTTTCCGTGGACAAAAACATATTGAATGATGGGGGCTGCCCAAGCAAGATCCAGCAGGACAAAAACATATTGAATGATGGGGGCTGCCCAAGCAAGATCCAGCATGCTCCTGTCGCCGACAGCGCCTCATGGGGCTCATGTGTCTTCCTCCCACGCATTTTCTCTGGCTTGCTCTCTCTTGAACGATTCTTCTTCTCGTTCACTATAAGGGTTTCGTTTGACATTTTCGACATCTTTCGTTAATTACTAGGTGCGAAATTCTTTTGATTTAGAGTCGAGCACGGAGCGTAGTTTAGTTGGGTGTTCGCTTTTGTTTCCTCAAGATCTGGGAACTTTTGTGATTCATTGTATCTTTTACCTGGCTTTTGGAGCATATTTATCAACTACATATAGGTATGGTTTTGACGGATAGCGAGCGATGCCACGTTACATGAATCACAGCTATGCCTTGATTTGTGTACGTCCCCGTTCCACGCCAGAAGTTCCTTCCAGAAGGAGGGAAAATGATAGTGAAAATCGATGAAATTTTGAACAATCAAATACTTTGATCATCCGTTTGGTAAAATGCAATATGATATGTCGTCGCGCTTACATTTGGCAACGCGTTTTCTTTTAACGTCGCGGGATAACTTCCTAGGAATGGCTCCAAGTGTTTAGGATGGTCAAATTCCTTGCGGGAAAATTATCAAATCAGTCCTAAACCTATTGTACGGCGGCCAATTCAGTCCTAAACCTTTTAATTTTGCCAATACAGTCCTAAACCTTTCTAATTCTTGCCAATTCAGTCCTTCCGGTCAATTTTGACCGGCCGGCGCTGACGTGGCCGCCGGCCGGCACCAGCCGTCCGGCCAACGCTGACGTGGCAATTTTTTATTATTTTTTAATCTTTTTTTTTCTTTTTTTTCTGATTTCTTCCTCTGGCCGGTCCGGCGACCGGCGGCCGGCCAGAGGGGAGGGCCGGCGAGGTCGACCTCGCCGGCCTCGCCGCTGCTGAGACGAGGCCGACCTCGCCGTCGCCTGGGGCGCGACGGCGAGGTTGAGCTTCGCCCAGATCTGGCGAGGCTCGACCTCGCCGTCGTGAACCAGGCGACGGCGAGGCCGGCGAGGTCGACCTCGCCGGCCCTTCCCTCTGGCCGACCGTCGGTCGCCGGACCGGCCAGAGGAAGAAATCAGAAAAAAGAAAAAGAAAAAAAAGGATTAAAAAAAGATTAAAAAATTGAAAAAAATAATAAAAAAAAATTGCCACGTCAGCGTTGGCCGGACGGCCGGCGGCCACGTCAGCGCTGGCCGGCCAAAATTGGCCGGAAGGACTGAATTGGCAAAAATTAGAAAGGTTTAGAACTGAATTGGCAAAATTAAAAGGTTTAGAACTGAATTGGCCGCCGTACAATAAGTTTAGGACTGATTTGACAATTTTCCCAATTCCTTGCAAATCTACAACGATCCACTTTCAAAGCTAGGGTATAGAGAGAGATTGTGAGTTGGAAGACCTTATCCATCTCACATTTTTCAAACTTCTGCGGTGTAATAAAGGACATCTCATTCAAAACCAGGCCAATCACATGCAATCATCCTGCTATAGCTTTGCTGTTTCTAGCTATCGGCTTCCATTTATGTCTTGACGTAAACACAGATCTCTCTATATCACTCTTATGGCGTGAACTCCATTTAAGACACAGTCTCTCTCTCTCTCTCTCTCTCTCTCTCTCTCTCTCTCTCTCTCTCTCTCTCTCTCTCATAAATAAGGAGCAATGTCTTCACGTCAAGGACCACGCCATGCAAATTGCAAGGCCATGCCCTTCTCAAATTCCCGCAAGCATCTTAAGTTGTGAATGTGACCACTCTCCAAACCTCTGCTATTCTTATCTGAATACTTACTTGCATCTTGTTCCATCAACCCTTGCTACTGAAACTTCAAATATTGTGTGCCAAAGCTGTTAATGGAGGTTGCGTTTGGGGCCTAAATCATGTTCAAATTGCTCATCCAATGTGATTCAGTACCACTTGGAGAAGTTCTAATGGAAAAAGAAGAAACAGTAGCACTAGGAGATTCATGATAACATGAAATATATCAACTGTTAGCAAAAAAACTAGAAGAAATATCGGGCTTTCTTTGTCCAGAACACAAAAAATATGCATAATTCGACTGGAGATTTCATTACCAAATTATGCAAATTCCTAAAATCCTGAGATTTGCTAGGATTAGAGATACGTTAAGTGACCTTGAAAACTGAAAAACCGAGTAAAGTTCTCACGTTAGCACGCCACGTGATTAAATCTCGTGCGAGTTTTATGCACTTTTATATAGACACGCACACTAGTAAAACGTAGGAGAAAATATTGGCTTTTACGATGGACCGACCAATCTCTCGGTGGTAACCGGTTGTAATCACGCACGCTGCATCATAATTTCTGCTGCCAAGTTTCGTAACGTGAAAGAATTACAAATAAGTTTTCTATTCTCTTATGATCCCAATGACAACCAACTCGGGAAGAATGGGGTTCCTCAGATGAATGAAGGGCGTGTTTCCCGCACGTTGGTTGGGAGGCAGCTTGTTGCGCGGGGCGGGGGCAAAAGCTCAATTGCGACTGTGCCGTCGCATCGGATTTTAGTCTTTCAAACGTTTCTTCTGTCCCTTCATAAGAAGCTCGAATAATAATATCCATGGTCTTTTATACGATTTATATTCTTGATTTTTAGGAAACAAATTTAAAGGTTTACCCAACTGCCCTCACCGTTTGCAACCCCACCCCGTCCATCATCTCAAGGCAATATCCCAAAGGAGAGATGTTAAGGTTGACACTCATCCTTTTGTTCCCAAAAAGAAGGAACTTGCTAGCGCGCGGTTCGTTAGATTTGGTTAGACCCAAAACGGGAGTTGCCGGTTTCTTTGCGAGGCCAATTAATGTTTTCCTTGCGAGGCCTGGTCAAATGCGCTCTGAGGTCTTCCTCATCCAACCGTGAAACATTTGCTGTTCCGTTTCCCATTGGACAGCGCTGTTTGACTATAAGAGAGTTCATCGTGTAGAAATCTCAACGCGCCATCGAAACCATTACAAGGGAGCAAGCAATACGAGTTCATCCATCTCCTTCCCTCAATCGGTTCGTCGAAAATGAACAAGTCAGACCACCGAAAAACTAAGCTTCCAAATCGACGCCGACAAAAGCAATTCCTTGTCCTTCACACTAAGTTACATTGTACAAATTACACGAAGCAAAACCCAGCATATGATACATATAAGACTCCCACGGTGACTATAATTATATCTCATCAAGACAAGCCCAGGTCTCTTCAACGTTTGTGAAAAAAATTTATAAGAATAATAGGTAGGCCTAATTGAGGGAAACCGAAAACAAAAGCAAAAAAAAAATTATAAAACTGACGGGGAAGAATATCGCCCCCATTATAAACCCCATGAACAACAACCAAGACTGTATCTTCTACTCTGTGGCTCAATTTACAGTGTGGCTGGCAGACCCAAACTGCAGCTCCTGCCACATCAAACCATACAAAAATCTAATCCTCCGCCTGCGACTCGTCCACGAGCTTGTATTCTCATCTCGATGCACCACCCACCACGGCAAAATTTCAATTCAGCCAAGCCCAGAACTTCCCCCACCGACTGAAAATACAAGTTGTCGTGTTTCCAATAATATGGTCATCGTGCTCCATACACTGTGGACCACAGCTGGGAGTGCAGGCCAGAATTGAGTATACAATGACAACCTCGAGCAATCTGTTGTTAAATCCAAGCAAGAGAACCCCGATCATTTGCTACTTGAGGGCGTCCTCTGGTAGGTGTCGGAGGTCTATTTGCATTGAGCTCCTGTATCTCATCGAGAAACCAACAAACTAGTTAAACGTGAAACATGAGAGAGAGATTATGACTAGGACAAAAGCTATAGAAATGGCTGTACCTGCATCCAAGTGTCTTCTATATGGTGTTCGGGTGATGTTTCTGGTGATGAGATGGCTGGTGGCAAAGGATGAATGAGTTTAGGAACGACAACAAGATCTCTTCCCAAAACCAATATTGCCCCCGCATTATTCGCAGTACCTGTTAGCATAGGACACATTACAAAGGAGGTAAGCTGTTTGGGTCGGCCTATTATCAGCGGAAAAGCACATCCTTGACTTTCCCACAGAAACCAAAATAGTGTTTTTAACTTTTTAAAGAATGTGAAAATTTTCTACATGACTCCGGAAGACTTAAATATCAAAAGTTGTGTGCTTAAAAATCAAAGCCTTCATTATCAAACAGAAGTTACATATGCAAAAAAGTTAAAAAAGTAAAATATCATTCCATGCGCAACTTTGATAGCCGAAAATATCAATTAGGACCATACCGCAGTAATTCGTTGCTGAGAATAGAGTAATTAAATGTCCCTGAGCGAAACGTTCAAAACCATCCATCACACATTCGTGAGCACGCACAATCAACTGCAGATCATTGATGTTGCAGAATTCCATCACTCGATCAGGCTGCAAACAAAGTTCCATTAGATAATGAGAAAAGATAAAGACTAAACTGACATTTCTATCATACAACGAAGCATCATATTCAGCTCTCAGGATAATAAAGCTGCCTGTGATGTAGGGCAACAGACGTCTATTAAGGAGACATCGGTAATTCCAATTGTGGAATATTCACCTCCATCTCGTACAATAAGAGAGATCTACGAATGATGATGAGCAAGTAGACACTCACCCCAAAAGTAACCAACCCTGGACCTCTGGCATTTGGCCTAAGACCTTCTACGCTATCATTTTCTGTTGGGTCAGACCTGAAGAGAAATGACAAATTGCAGGTAAATCACAGGACAACAAACCTTGTTTTGACAAGAGAACACAATAAGCAGCCACTTACCATAACAAATCCATGAGAACAATAGACCCAGCCTCCATGGTAATAGGAC